AGAGAGAGAGAGAGATCCCCAGTTAACTCCATCCAAGTGATTGATGTATGACATTGAATGTAAAATGTGAACCAAGACTTGAGTCATTTTTGGACCTGATTCTGACTTCTACCTAATCATTTCTTTTTTTTTAAAAAAAAAACCAAACTTATGGGTCTTCCAAAAGTTTATCTTATGATCATATTTGGTTTTTTTTTAATGTGCCAAACAGACGAGGGATGGAGGGGCAGAGGGAGTTTCTATTAGATATCTGATCTGGTGCATATTCTTGCAGGCCTCAGGAGGTAGTTATCTTTGTAGTCGGAGGGACAACATATGAAGAAGCACGCACAGTGGCATTGCAAAATGCGAGCAACTCAGGGACACGTTTTATCCTTGGTGGTTCTGTTGTTCTGAATTCAGCGAGGTATATTTACTTACCTTTTAGTATTCATACTTTGGTTTGTTTTGCTGATGTATTAGTTTAATTAAATGGTCTTGCGATCAGTTGGAGTCTGAGAACTTCATATTTCTTTTTTCCTCTTTGTTTGCTTTTGCTTGAATTTACATTTGTGAGATTATATCTTCCTGTGGTCGTGATTACGATTAACTTGTATTGGCATCCATAACTTTAAAATGACTAAACCTTGTCCATACAATCGGAGAAATAGGTTGCTTATGATATCCAAACCTGGGCTGAGGTTCAAAATTTTTCTAACTGTGATACTAAAGCAAGCTCAAGATGAGAATGTCAGCAATAAAGAAATATGAAAATATTTTCATATTCCCAAAAGCATGGGTCATGCAAAATTTTAATTCCACAAGTTACCTTTTCAAAATTTTCATGAGATATTGTCATTACTTAAGTGGATGTTAATTTTTGGTTTCATCTCCAACCTAACAAAATGTCAACATATTGGCAATACCAGGCTCTCTCTCTCTCTCCCTCTCTCAGCTAAGATGCTTCTTTCCTTGAGCTGTTACTTTGAAACAAAATATTGAAATATTTTCAAGTAGGGGAATTTAGGTTTTTGTGGGATATACAAGGAATGTCATTGTAAAATGAGAATTGGTTTAGGCTGGCCAGTATTTCTATCTTTTATTGGTGGGGTAGCTGTGATTTGACGATGGATGTTGAGCTTGAACGTTTATTTCTGGTAAATTGCTTCCTAAAGAAAAGATCTAGGAAATTGAAATGATTTTACTTACATTGTTGAGTCCCACATGTTTGTTTCTCATTTCCTTTGCCATAAACTTCGTTCTTCTCGACTACATTTGACGTTTTTTATGACAAATTTGGTTTTCAATCTCTTGGTTTTTGATACAATCATGGACACATCAGTAAAAAAGGAAACTAAAAAATAGTATTCTATAACGGCTGAACTTTTTCTCGTAAAAGCTCTTAAATACGAGGGCTCTTTGTTTACCCTTTCTTTTTTTCATATTTTTGGGCCTCATCCTTTTTCCTATGGTCTTTTTTTTCCTAGTCCTTCGTTTATTGCTTCAATTTAATTTATTATGAAAAAGCTTTATTTATGCCATAGGCAATGGGGAACTTATATATGCTACTCTTTCTAGACCTCGTATATGAATGAATGGCTAGGATACCTCCTCTAGCCATAATGTCACAAGTGAGCCTTGATAGTTTGATCTAGATCTAACATCTTAGAGTATTTTATTTTTATTCTTTATACAAGTCATATGAATATGAAATTTGGTGGATGTGATCATTGATGGTGCACTTAAAAAAAATATTTAAAAAACATTTTCATGGAAATAAAATGACCAAACTGCCCATAATTTTTTTGGCGTATTTTGGTTATTTTATTTTTTTGAAAATATTTTTTGGTAGGTGCGTGCCTATGAGAGGATTGAACAACTCAGATTTGGTGTCAGTATGATTTATATGAAAAAAAACAAAAAATGAAATAGAGTTCAGGCGTGACATTGTGATTGTGATTGAGGCCATCTTAGCCGTCTGTTCAGATCGGACGGCTGGGACTGGTTGCATATATAAAGTTCCCTATAGAGGGTTTTTTTTTTGGGTAATTTAGTGGGGAAAATAGGCCTGTTTCTGTTTTATCAAGTAGATTAGGAGTTAGCTTTTTGAAGGTATTAAGGGGTTGGTGGTAGTGGTGGGAATGTATGAAGGTATCAAGGGGTTGGTGGTAGTGGTGGGAATGTAAACTACAACGTGGTGACTAGGGTGGTGACTAGGGTGTTAAAGAGTGTGAGGATGCTATCACCATCACCCCAACCCCTTTCCCATTTACAGTTGCATATAGAAAGGTTTTCCATCTGTTATTATGTCTTTCTTTATTTTGTGGGGAGAATAGTTATCCAGGATACATATATCTTGGATAAAGTTTTGTTTATCTTGGATAAAGTTTTGTTAGCTTGTGGGCCCTTTAATACATTGGTTTAGGTTGCTCATTTTCCACTGTCTTTTCTCTTTCCCTTCATTTATTTCTCAGTTTCAAGATTTTGTATGCCTTGGGGCCCAATTGCGGGTCTTCTTATTTGGTGACAATCTCTTTCAATCCGGTACATTCATTTGACTGGAAACAAATAGAACGAAACCAAGGGACAAATCTGGTGACCCTTTTGTTGGTCACAAGTTACTATTGTCGAGTAAGGGTTGGCCATGGCTCTAATAGGTTCGAGCCATAAACAAATGAAGCAAAAATAAAAAGAATATATATCTAAAGAGGGCAACCGGGTTGGCACTGGCCTAGCCTGGCCCTTGCCCCGAGGCCCCCCTTTTTTTTTAGGGATGTGCTTTGCAAACTAAGTTTCCCTATTTTCCAATAAATTCCCACTGTTGTTGTTGCCTTTTTTTTTTTTTAATTGCATTTTTGAATTCTCAGCTGCCCATTAGTGAAAAGATTCCTGCAAAATTCACCCTGTACTTTTTAAATTCATGTTCTTATGAAGTAATAGGTTACTCTAAATTCAGCCGAAGTAACGTGCACTGAGATTACACTGAATTTCATCTGAAATTTCGGTTTGTTGTGGCTTCTGAAATCTCACATTAATTGGCTTATGGGGGTGGCGCATTAAATTGGATGTGCAGGTTTCTGAGAGAGCTGGAAGAGGCTCAGAGAATCACTCGCTCGAGCGTGGTTTGAAAGCGAAAGAAATGAATCAAAGCTCTTGTTCGTTGCTTAGAGAGAGAGAGGAAAAAAAAAATGTTGATAGATGGAGACTAGCTACAGAGAGAAAATAGCCTCCTGTATTTGTTGATGTCTCCCATTTTACTGGGACTCTCTCTCTTATCGTTGAAAACGAGCCTTTTACTCTGATCCCATTTCCCGTGTACTTGCGCCATTTAATTTTTTTGTAATGGAAATGTAATGGAATTAATATACGCTTCTCTTTCTAGTCTCACTCTCTCTTTGTTCTTTATTGGATACTCTCTAAAGGTACTCTATTATCTGTAGCAAGTTCTGACTTTGCGAGGATCGGACAAAAAAATGAATCACACAGTTGGGAATGGAAAATTTTTATGATGGCTCTAAAATATATTTGTACAGCCAATAATGAAATTTGTAGCTCAAAAAATGATTCAT